GGCGTGGGTTCGAATCCCACCGCTGCCAGAGTCCCCTTTTTGCGTTGATTTCATTTCCGACTCTTGCTTCATTTTCATACTATCATGGATGGTGAATGATATTTCTGGATATAGGCATCAGCGCATCAGCGGTGGCAAGGCCGAGCTGTCTAAGGCGCTGGTTTATGGCACCAGTCTCTTCGGAGACGTGGGTTCGAATCCCACCGCGTCCAGATATCTCTTTATGCTTCATTTTCATTTCCTACTCGTGCCTCATTTTCATACTAAATGCCACGGAAGGCGAATGATATTTCTGGATATTAGCACAAAAGCGACAGCGGTAGCGTGGCAGAGCGGTCTAAGGCGCTGGTTTAAGGCACCAGTCTCCTCGGAGGAGTAGGTTCTAATCCCACCGCAGCCAGAGTGTCCTTTTTGCTTCGATTTCAGTTCCTACTCTTGCTTCCTTTTCATACTAAATGTCATGGAAGGCAAATGATATTTCTGGATATTGGCTAAAGACAACAAGCGGTAGCGTGGCCGAGTGGTCTAAGGCGTGGGTTCGAATTCCACCGCTGCCAGTGTCCTCTTTTTGCTTTGATTTCATTTAAGACTCTTGCTTCATTTTGATACTATCATGGATGGCGAATGATATTCCTGGATATTAGCATAAGAACAGCACATGTATCGTGGCCGAGCGGTCTAAGGCGCTGGTTTAAGGCACCAGTCTCCTCGGAGGCGTGGGTTCGAATCACACCGCTGCCAGGGTCCACTTTTTGCGTTGATATCATTTCCGACTCTTGCTTCATTTTGATACTATCATGGATGACGAATTATATTTCTGGATATCGGCATCAGCGGTAGCGTGGCCGAGCGGTCTAAGGCGCTGGTTTAAGTCACCAGTCTCTTCGGAGACATGGATTCGAATCCCACCGCTGCTAGATATCTCTTTTTGTTTCAATTTCATTTCCTACTCGTGCTTCATTTTCATACTAAATGTCAGGGAAAGCAAATGATATTTCTGGATATTGGCAAAATAGAAAAAGTAGCAGCGTGGCCGAGCTGTCTAAGGCGCTGGTTTAAGGCACCAGTCTCCTCGGAGGCGTGGGTTCGAATCCCACCGCTGCCAGAGTCCTCTTTTTGCATCGATTTCGTTTCCTACTCTTGCTTCATTTTCATACTATCATGGATGTCAAATGATATTTCTGGAAATTAGCATAAGAACATCACCTGTAGCGTTGCCAAGCGGTGTAAGGCGCTGGTTAAAGGTACGAGTTTCTTCGGAGGCGTGGGCTCGAAACCCACTGCTGCCATAGTCCTCTTTTTGCTTCGATTTCATTTCCTACTCTTGCTTCATTTTCATACCAAATGTCATAGAAGGCGAATGATATTTCTGGATATTAGCACGAAAGCTTCGGCGGTAGCGTGGCCGAGCGGTCTAAGGCGCTGGTTTAAGGCACCAGTCTCCTCGGAGGCGTGGGTTCGAATTCCACCGCTGCCAGAGTCCTCTTTTTGCTTCGATTTCATTTCCGACTCTTGCTGCATTTTCATACTATCATGGATGGTGAATGATATTCCTGGATATTGGCATCAGCGCATCAGCGGTGGCGAGGCTGAGCGGTCTAAGGCGCTGGTTTAAGGCACCAGTCTCTTCGGGTACGTGGGTTCGAATCCCACCTCTGCCAGATATCTCTTTTTGCTTCATTTTCATTTCCTACTCGTGCCTCATTTTCATACGAAATGCCACGGAAGGCGAATGATATTTCTGGATATTAGCACAAACGCGTCAGCGGTAGCGTGGCCGAGCGGTCTAAGGCGCTGTTTTAAGGCACCCGTCTCCTTGGAGGCGTGGGTTCTAATTCCACCGCTGCCAGAGTCCTCTTTTCGCTTCGATTTCATTTCCTACCTTTGATTACTTTTCATACTAAATGTCAGGGAAAGCGAATGATATTTCTGGATATTGGCATACACGCAACAGCGGTAGCGTGGCCGAGCGGTCTAAGGCGCTGGTATAAGGCACCAGTCTCCTGGGAGGCGTGAGTTCGAATCCCACCGCTGCCAGAGTCTCCTTTTTGCTTCGATTTCAGTTCGTACTCTTGCTGCATTTTCATACTATCATGGATGCCAAATGTTATTCCTGGATATTAGCATAAGAACCGCACCTGTAGCGTGGCCGAGCGGTCTAAGGCGCTGGTTAAAGGCACCAGTTTCTTCGGAGGCGTGGGCTCGAAACCCACTGCTGCCATCGTCCTCTTTTTGCTTCGATTTCATTTCCTACTCTTGCTTCATTTTCATACCAAATGCCATAGAAGGCGAATGATATTTCTGGATATTAGCACGAAAGCTTCGGCGGTAGCGTGGCCGAGCGGTCTAAGGCGCTGTTTTAAGTCACCCATCTACTCTGAGGCGTGGGTTCGAATTTCACCGCTGCCAGAGTCCTCTTTTTGCTTCATTTTCATTTCCTACTCGTGCCTCATTTTCAAACTAAATGCCACGGAAGGCAAATAATATTTCTGGATATTAGCGAAAGATTATCAACTTTAACGTGGCCGAGCTGTCTAAGGCGCTGGTTAAAGCCACCACTTCTGCTCGGAGGAGTGTGTTCGAATCCCACAGCTGCCAGTGCCCTCTTTTTGCTACGATTTCATTTCCTAAGTTTGATTCCTTTTCATACTAAATGTCAGGGAAAGCGAATGATATTTCTGGATATTGGCATACACGCAACAGCGGTAGCGTGGCCGAGCGGTCTGAGGCCCTGGTTTAAGGCACCAGCCTCTTCGGAGGCGTGGGTTCGAATCCCACCGCTGCCAGAGTTTTCTTTTTGCTTCGGTTGTATTTCCTACTCTTGCTTCATTTTCATACTAAATGCCACGGAAGGCGAATAATATTTCTGGATATTAGCGAAAGACTATCAGCTTTACCGTGGCCGAGCTGTCTAAGGCGCTGGTTAAAGGCGCCACGTCTCCTCGGAGGAGTGGATTCGAATCCCACCGCTGCCAGAGTCTCCTTTTTGCTTCGATTTCAGTTCCTACTCTTGCATCCTTTTCATACTAAATGTCAGGGAAGGCAACTGATATTTCTGGATATTGGCAAAAGAAAACAAGCGGTAGCGTGTCCTAGCGGTCTAAGGCGCTGGTGTAAGTCACCTATCTACTCGGAGGAGTGGGTTCGAATTCCACCGCTGCCAGAGTCTTCTTTTTGCTTCGATTTCATTTCCTACCTTTGATTCCTTTTCATACTAAATGTGAGGGAAAGCGAATGATATTTCTGGATATTGGCATACACGCAACAGCGGTAGCGTGGCCGAGCGGTCTAAGGCGCTGGTTTAAGTCACCCATCTATACTGTTGCACAAAATCTTACTGTGGGTGTATGGTGTAAACAGTCCAACACGCAGGATAATGGAGAATGAAGGTTTATTTACAAATATACAGGATAACACGTAGCACAGGTACAGGAAACAATAGTCCTTGCACAGATTACCAATGTAAATAGACAACAATTCACAGGTAATGACAGTTTTAGCGCTTTGATATCTAACAGCACAAACAGTCAGCAAATAACTAGTAACGACAATAACAGCTCAGCTCACCAGCTGATTAGCTCACACAGCGGATAGAACTCCGAAGACTTTCACAATGGATCAACACTCCTACCGCTCGGCGTCTAACAGCTTACTGGCTCGCACAGCGGATAGAACTCAAGAGACGTTCGCGCTCCAAGGCGATCCTAGTCGAACAACAACCACCGTGATCCAAACGCGGTCTTATATACTCTCTCCGATAGGCCGTGACGTCACATAGAATTTTCATGAAAATCCTAGATCTCGGCCCCTAATAGAAATATCGAGAAAAGGGTTGCATTTTCGAGAATAATCTATTTGTCGCCAAGTCGCCAAAATGGTCGCCAAGTTTGTCGCCAAGGTCATGCGTGCCACGAGAGTCGCTGAGGTCACTCCATGCTTCACCTTGTAAAACCCTCTTCCCAACCATAAGACCTGTATTGCTGGGAAGCGACTTTCCATGACTGTAACACTGCTCCCCTCTTCAAAGACTGACGTCCCGGCAGTCTCATTACACCGAACTGTGATCAGTAGCCCGGTAGGGGGTTAGCCGATTGATGTGAATTACTTTTGGCTTGGCGTTAGGTGACCTCTGAACTCTGTAGATGACATCGTTCAGTTTCTTGACGATAGTATAAGGCCCTTCCCAGTTCTGCTGTAATTTCGGGCTCAGACCTCTCCGTCGCTTCGGGTTATACATCCAGACTAGATCACCCTTCTTGAAATGGTGTTCTGTTGCTCCGGAGTCGTAATGAGTCTTCTTGCGTACCCTGGACAGTTTAACTCGCTCTCTGTCAGACGTCTGTACGCTTTCCAAACGTGCCCCCAACTTATTCAAGTCTTCGTTCGGCGAGGAAGGCGTATCTTCCGGTCGTCCAAAGAGGATGCCACGGGGGAAACTCGGCGTTCGATCAGAAAGCTTTTCTGCTGAAATCCATCCAGTCACTGACTTTCCGTCTTCTGTTTTAAGTCTTTTTCGGGCTCTGCAAATTTGACATTCTCTGCACCATTTCTCAACGTCGGCGCGAAGACGGTCCCAATAAAATCGCTCTCGGATTCTACGCAAGGTCTTCATGATTCCAAAATGTCCTCCACTTGAACTGTCATGAGTCTCTTGCAGAACTTCTTGAATTCTACTCCTCGGGAGAATTAATTGCCATTGACATGAGCTTCCATCATCATTCTCCCACTTGCGATAAAGGACACCATCCTTAAGATGTAAGGAGTCCCAAAGAGCCCAATATCGCTTTGTTGCAGGATTCTCCTGAGCGATTTCTTGCCGAGATGGTCGATCCGCCAACTTTAGTTTCTTCTCCAGAATTAGTCTTATATCAGGATCTTCCAGCTGTGCTTTCTGAATATCACTTACAGGCCAAGTATCCTCAGTTGTCATTCTTAACGCTCTCACGGAAATATCTGTTTCCGTTCCGGACTTCTTGTCGGAATACAAATCGTGTTCGTAGCTCTCTACAAAGGATCTTCGAGAGAGGGCTTTATCACTTCCGTGACGAGTTTCCTTGTGATGATTTATAGACGTAATCTGTTGGCATTCATTCTGTAAGTGCCCCTTTTTATTACACTTCCAACATGTTGCATTAGGGTTTCGCCGGGAAGCGTTATCACTTGGACACTCTCGCTGCACGCGCCCCTTCTTATAGCATATCCAGCAGGTCACGTTCGGGTTTCGTCGGGGAGCGCTGTCACTCGGGCACTCTAACTGTACATGCCCCCTTTTATAGCACCTCCAGCAAGTCACATTCGGATTCCGTCGAGGGGCGCTCTTCTTCCCAGCAGCAAGTATCTCCAAAAATTTTTCCAACGCTTCCAATAGAGATTCAAACTTTTCATCTTTTCTCTTGCCGGCGTTATCCTCTATCCTTATTGGCCTTGCGTGCATAGAGACCTTCGAAGCAATTTTCGAAGTTTCGCATTTCATGCTATATGCCAGGGCCGATTTCAAATCCGTAAAGTCCATCAACCTTGTGCGAAGTTGCGTGTCTTCGTCTCTGATGGCATCGACGAAGAACTGGACCGCTAAACTCTCCTGAACATCCATAGGGCACTCGGCGTAAGCCAGGCTCATTAATCGCTTCACATCGGCGGCTAATGCCTGCAGGCTTTCCCCTGGCTTCTGCCGTCTTGTCTTCAATTCCGTCCTATAAAACTGGGTAAGGTGACTGTCTCCGAATCGGGCTTCTAGAGCGTTCTCGATTGTCATAAGGTCCGTCAACTTATCAGAAGGTATTCCCTGAAGAACTTCCGCCGCTGTTCCTCGGAGAGAGGCCACAAGTTGGCTGGCTTTCACACGATTATTCCATCCGTTCGCAGAGCTCACAACGTCAAACTGAGTTTTGAAAACAGTCCACGACGTTTGTCCGTCGAATGTCAGGGATTTGACCGTTGGTCTGGAATACGTGAGGTCTGGATTTGACGGGAAATTGATTGGTCTGTCCTCGAGTTCACTAAGCCTCTTCTCTAGGTCGCCGATCTTCACTTGAACTTTTTCTTTGACTTCCTCTATCTTTCCTTGTACTTTGTCTTCCACTTCCTCTATCTTGCCTTGTACTTTGTCTTCCACTTCCTCTATCTTGCCTTGTACTTTGTCTTTCACTTCCTCGATCTTCCTTTCAACCTCGCCCTTTACCTCTCCAATCTCTCTTTTCACGCTTTGGACATCTTCTTCTATTTTCTCTATGCAACTGTTGACATGATCTTTAATTTCCCCGACTTTACTTTCGACGTGAGATTGGATCTGATTCTTCATTGCTTCTTGTCCTTTCCTCATTTCCTCTTGTCCTTTTTCCATTCTATCCTTCATTTCTGCTTGTCCTTTCTCCATTCTCTCTTGTCCTTTCTCCATAGATTTCTTCAACTCGGCTAGCAGAGCAAGTAGATCAGCGTTCTCAGCCATCTTTGTCTGAGATCTCGTTTTCACCATACACAAATACCCCACTTCTGACACCAGTGTTGCACAAAATCTTACTGTGGGTGTATGGTGTAAACAGTGTACCATAAGACCTGTATTGCTGGGAAGCGACTTTCCATGACTGTAACACTGCTCCCCTCTTCAAAGACTGACGTCCCGGCAGTCTCATTACACCGAACTGTGATCAGTAGCCCGGTAGGGGGTTAGCCGATTGATGTGAATTACTTTTGGCTTGGCGTTAGGTGACCTCTGAACTCTGTAGATGACATCGTTCAGTTTCTTGACGATAGTATAAGGCCCTTCCCAGTTCTGCTGTAATTTCGGGCTCAGACCTCTCCGTCGCTTCGGGTTATACATCCAGACTAGATCACCCTTCTTGAAATGGTGTTCTGTTGCTCCGGAGTCGTAATGAGTCTTCTTGCGTACCCTGGACAGTTTAACTCGCTCTCTGTCAGACGTCTGTACGCTTTCCAAACGTGCCCCCAACTTATTCAAGTCTTCGTTCGGCGAGGAAGGCGTATCTTCCGGTCGTCCAAAGAGGATGCCACGGGGGAAACTCGGCGTTCGATCAGAAAGCTTTTCTGCTGAAATCCATCCAGTCACTGACTTTCCGTCTTCTGTTTTAAGTCTTTTTCGGGCTCTGCAAATTTGACATTCTCTGCACCATTTCTCAACGTCGGCGCGAAGACGGTCCCAATAAAATCGCTCTCGGATTCTACGCAAGGTCTTCATGATTCCAAAATGTCCTCCACTTGAACTGTCATGAGTCTCTTGCAGAACTTCTTGAATTCTACTCCTCGGGAGAATTAATTGCCATTGACATGAGCTTCCATCATCATTCTCCCACTTGCGATAAAGGACACCATCCTTAAGATGTAAGGAGTCCCAAAGAGCCCAATATCGCTTTGTTGCAGGATTCTCCTGAGCGATTTCTTGCCGAGATGGTCGATCCGCCAACTTTAGTTTCTTCTCCAGAATTAGTCTTATATCAGGATCTTCCAGCTGTGCTTTCTGAATATCACTTACAGGCCAAGTATCCTCAGTTGTCATTCTTAACGCTCTCACGGAAATATCTGTTTCCGTTCCGGACTTCTTGTCGGAATTCAAATCGTGTTCGTAGCTCTCTACAAAGGATCTTCGAGAGAGGGCTTTATCACTTCCGTGACGAGTTTCCTTGTGATGATTTATAGACGTAATCTGTTGGCATTCATTCTGTAAGTGCCCCTTTTTATTACACTTCCAACATGTTGCATTAGGGTTTCGCCGGGAAGCGTTATCACTTGGACACTCTCGCTGCACGCGCCCCTTCTTATAGCATATCCAGCAGGTCACGTTCGGGTTTCGTCGGGGAGCGCTGTCACTCGGGCACTCTAACTGTACATGCCCCCTTTTATAGCACCTCCAGCAAGTCACATTCGGATTCCGTCGAGGGGCGCTCTTCTTCCCAGCAGCAAGTATCTCCAAAAATTTTTCCAACGCTTCCAATAGAGATTCAAACTTTTCATCTTTTCTCTTGCCGGCGTTATCCTCTATCCTTATTGGCCTTGCGTGCATAGAGACCTTCGAAGCAATTTTCGAAGTTTCGCATTTCATGCTATATGCCAGGGCCGATTTCAAATCCGTAAAGTCCATCAACCTTGTGCGAAGTTGCGTGTCTTCGTCTCTGATGGCATCGACGAAGAACTGGACCGCTAAACTCT